CTGCCCCAGCCTCCCGAGTAGCTGGTACTACAGGCACGCGCCACCATGCCCAGCTAATTTTTGTATTTTTAGTAGAGACGGGGTTTCACCTCGTTGACCAGGATGGTCTCAATCCACCCGCCTCGGCCTCCCAAAGTGCTAGGATTATAGGCGTGAGCCACCACGCCCGGCCAAGATATTTAAATTCCTTGTAAGTGTCTGGATTGGAGGAGGAGGATCCAGGGTGCTTTTTGATTTGGGAGAGATTAGATAGAAGGTGGCATGAACGTGGACAACGCCTTCCATCCCCGCCTCTTCTCAAAGGGGGACTAACGGAGCTGGCTGTGGGGGATGCGGGGTCCGAGAGTGATTGTGGGGTGGAGATGGAGAGGAGGTAGAGTTGGAAGTGGGGGGACTGGAGAGGGGAGGGGAGAAGGGGAGAGCTGGAGCTGGGCATCAGGTGTGGGTTCAGGAGCTTCCTCCTGGTGGAGGCTTGGGGCTTTGGTGGAGAGGAGGGAAGTCAGCTGGGTTGAAAGAAGGTATCATCTGACAAGGCTGTGGGAGAGATTGAGTTGGGTTTTGAGCGGGCAAGGAGGATTTGGAAGGTGGAGCAGTTCTGGCAGAGAGCGGGGCAGTTGCAGAGGGTAAAGAAAGCCTGAACATAGGGAACCTCAGACCATTTACCTTTGCAGTGGCAGAAATTGTCAAGGTCCCTCCCAGAGAATGTTGAAATTCAAAGTACCATTCTCAGGCTGCTGAGAACCGTTGTCTAATTTATATCGGGGCCAGGCCGTATTGCGAGAGAAAATTAGTTTTTTGGGCCTGATTTCAGACTGAAGGCCAAGGGTGTCTAGATTCCAGGGGAGACCTCCTAAGGGGCTGACTGGCTGAACCCCATGGTCAAAAGCAGGCAGAGGATGAGGCTGCCTGGGAGAAGGAAGACAGGATTGAGCGTCCTCTGCCCTGTTCCTTCACCCAAGACAGTGAATTCAATAGTCACTGTCGAATTAGGCAATCCCAAGACGACAGGACTGAGGCCCCTGGGGCCGGAAGGATGTCCTCGGCCCAGCGGAACCCAGGCAGAGGCAAACCTCTATCCAACTAACTGGCCAGGAGGTGATGACTTGGATGGGGGTAACTGCAGTTGGCAATGGAGGGTCTGGGGTTTCCTTCCTGGCCCTGGAAAGGGGTTCGGGACAGCCACAGGAGCAGGGGTCGGGGAGAGACCAAGAGACCAGCACCTACTCCCATCCTGGGTTTCCGCATGAAAATGTAAGGCGGACTGAAAGGTTGGAGAGGCAGACCCAGGGTCAGGTTTAGCAAGTTTATTTCAAACTGCCAGGCTGGCTGCCTCGTTACAGGCAGTGAAGGTAGCAGCCTGGCTTACAGATGCTGGGGGTTCTATAGCTTTGAAGGTAGCTGGGTGCTATTCTAGGAAAAACCATATCTTGGTTCTTAGGGGGTGACATTCTGCTTAGCTGGGTTCGAGAGCTGAGTGCGACCATATCCTGGAACCCAGTGCCCTGTTTACAAGCTTCAGGCTGTTTTAGTTATGAGCTTGGCTTAGCAGGGGAGAACCGGGAGGGGGTCTATGGGCTTGCCTTGCTGTGACCCTAACAGCTAGGACCATAGGTGCCTGCAACCACACCCAGCTAATTTTTATATTTTTAGTAGAGATGGGGTTTCTCCATGTTGGTAAGGCTGGTCCCTAACTCCCAACCTCAGGTGATTTGCCCACGTCGGCCTGCCAAAGTGCTGGGATTACAAGCATGAAGCCACTGTGTCAGCCAAGGATTGCATTAAAAAAGAAATGAATGAATGAGTGAATGAAAGAAAAAAGGCTTTAGGCCAGACATGGTGAGTTATGCCAATAATCTCAGCACTTTGGAAGGCCAGGGGCAGGTGGATCACCTGAGGTCAGGAGTTCAAGACCAACCTGGCCAATTATGGTGAAACCCTGTCTCTACTAAATATACAGGAAAAAAAAATTAGCCGGGCATGGTGGCGGGCACCTGTAATCCCAGCTACTAGGGAAGCTGAGGCAGGAAAATCACATGAACTTGGGAGGCGGAGGTTGCAGTAAGCCAAGATCACACCACTGCACTCCTCAGAGGCGGAGAGCATATTCTGACTGGCACTCCCAGAGAGGAGGCCGAGCCTGGTTTGCTGTGCCAGTCCTCGGGAGCCAGCTGTCTGCAGGGCCAGTGACCGGGCCGTGAGTCTGTCTGAATCACAATGACCAGTGAGCAGAGGCCCTCATCCGCAGATCAGAGGCAGGCCCCAGGCAGCTTGAGGGAGACTTAGGTTTCCATCCGTGGGACTCCTGAGAGACCACTTTCTCAATTTGTTACAGTAGCTAGTCAGACCTGAGCAGGGCAGGGCAGGGTTCCCCCCGCACCCACTAATAAATTCCTGGTGACCATCAGGTGATGTTGTTACACCATTTCTCTGAAATAGTAATGGGCTTGTTGTGACACTATTGTCACACTGTTTCTGTAAAATAGTAATTGGCTGGGGTGGGGAGCAGTCTCCTAACAGAATCACCTGAAGCTGGTGATAAGCTCTCAGGCCTTGGGCAAGTGGGCTCAGGTGGCGGTGTTTAACTTGTATTTAACCTCATGGGGACACTTGACTTGTAAGGGGAAAACGCCTCAGTGAGCCTGCAGGCAGGCCCAGTATACACACAGTGTGCACTCCCTGCCCAAAGGGCCACCGTGCATGTGGACAGCCCACCCCAAGGGAGGAATCAGGGAGCAGGGACACAGATCCCAGAAATGTGCCAACACATAAAGCACACCCTCTCCCAGCTTTTTTTGTTTGCTTTTTTTTTTTTTAAGTTCGGTCTCGGCTTCCCGAGTAGCTGAGAGTACAGGTGCCTGCCACCACCACGGCCTGCTAATTTTTTGAACTTTTAGTAGAGACGGGTTTTCACCATGTTGGCCAGGATGGTCTCAAGCTCTTAACCTCGTGATCTGCCTACCTTGGCCCCGAAGTGCTGGGATTATAGGTGTGAGCCACTGCACCTGGATTGTTGAACTCTTCTGCAGAGTCATGTAAGCCAATCTGTAGGATTTGGTGCCAGTAGCATACCCTGTGACTCAGATAGGTTCTGAGCTTGGGCGGAGAAGAGGGTGTCATTTGAGGACTCCTTCCCCAGCTGGGATGGCACGAGGCTTACCAGGCGTGTGACGGCCACTCTGCAACCCTCCCTGTCCCCATGCCCCTGACCCTGAACCACCCAGGTTCTGAAGGCAGGACCACCTCAGCCCCCACCAGCACCCAGCTGCCACTCAGCCCTCCTCTCCCAGAAGGAAAATGGATTCAGCCAGTGGTTCCCACCAGCCTGGCACCTTGGTGACTCAGCCCCATCTCCTCTGCCCAGAAGGAGCTTCAAGAAACTGTAATAGGATCCGCACGCTTGGTAAAGGAATGGCCAGGCCTCAGGGGCCACAGTGCTACCACCTGAATGCCAGATGGACTCACGAGTTGGAGGCTGGTTGGGAGGAAGCAGACCCCTCTCCGGCTCACAGGCCCAGCTTGGCCTGGAGTGTGAGGTGCCCACCACATACCGATAGGCAATGGGAGGTGGCTCAGCAGTCACACAGGCCCCTCCGTTAAGGACAGCTAGCACTGGCAAGGTGGAAAACACAGTGGCAGACGAGGGCCAGAGAATAATGGGAAGGTCCAAGTGGAGAGGGAGGAGGCCAGGGAGGAGCCTGCACCCTCGTTTCCAGCGCAGACCCCTGGACATCCAGGGCTTGGCCTAGGGTGGCCAGTGACCCCCAAGAATCCGAACAGGCACCTAAGGTCCCAGTGCAGCTGAAGTCAACGCCCCATACCGGCACGGAGGGGCCGCCATGGGGGTCTGCAGAGGGGACTTCTGTTCTTTGCTCCCCAGAACCTCCCTCACTTGTCCCTGCAACAAGAGCTGGAGAGATGGCGGCCTGGGACTTGTGGGTAATCCCCTGGAGAGGCCCGTCACTCCTCCCCACTGCCAGGTCTGGGTGGGGCTTTATCCCAGCCCCAGGGTGGGCCACAGGACTCAGGCCTAAGCCAATCAGAGCCTTCCCTCACTGCAGCCATGGGTCCAGGGTGAGCATGTGACCTAAGCTTGTTCGATCTCGGTGGATCGGGGCTTTTTCTGCTGGGAAAGTGGAACTAAGATCTTGCATTCTTCATCGTATTTGATGGAAGCACAGGGCCCATCCTGCCAGCTGGAGGAGTCAGCCTGCCTGATACTGCAGAGGCCTGATGCTCCCCGGAGCCGTTGGGCCGCTTGGCTTTATGTCCAGTCCTTCACCCTCCCCGTACCCACCTCCTTTGCAGTGCCCTCCTGCTGTGACCCTGACTTTGGCCAATGGGGTGTGACATCACAGGACACCAACCCAACCGTGAAAACAGCATTCGCGCTTGTGTGTGCACCTGGGCCTGTGCTGGGAGAATGTGCCCTGTTTAACTGTCAGGAGGACACCTGGGTATGTCAGCAGTCCCCCCCAAACGAGCAAAAGAACCCCCCAGCTGACCCACTGACTCGTGGGCAATAATGAACAGCCCATACTTTCAGTGGTGGTGGTTACACAGCTGTGTGGCAGCAGCTGGGCAAGCCCCTAGCCACTCTCTTTGTATTTTGAGATGGAGTTTCACTGTTGTTGCCCAGGCTGGAGTGCAAAGGTATGATCTAGGCCCACCACAACCTCCGCCTCCTTCGTTCAAGCGATTTTCCTGCCTCAGCCTCCTGAGTAGTGGGATTACAGGCATGTGCTACCACACCCAGCTAATTTTGTATTTTTAATAGAGATGGTGTTTCTCCATGTTGGCCAGGCGGGTCTTGAACTCCTGACCTCAGGTGATCTGCCCACCTCGGCCTCCCAAAGTGCTGGGATTACAGGCGTGAGCTGCCACGTCCAGTGCCCTTAGCCACTACATTCCCGTTTTCAGCTGAACCACATTGGGTTATGATTAGAAACATTAATCCTAGCCAACACATTATTTTATCAGTCCCTAGCTCAGGCACCACAGAGTCCAAGAAGCATAGAATTTTAATTCAAAGGTTCCGAGTTCATCTAATGCCTCAGATGGCAAGTTTATAAAACATACGAGTTCACTGGTGTGGGAGGTAGCTGGAACTACAGTGGCTGCAACACTAGAGGTGTCTTCTGGCTGCTCTCAGGGGACTTGGAGGTAGGGAAGGCTTGGTGAGGGCCATGGCTTGTGTCTGCAGCACAGCCTCCTGCAAACGGGCTGCCCTGCCCCCCTGCACTTGCGGTGCCAGGCCATGCCCCCCAGGTGCCTCCGGGGCACTGAAGACGTTTTCATAGTACTCGATCAGCAGTTCAGTGAACAGGTTCAGGGGCACGAGGGCACTCAGGGAGGAGGCCCCCTGGGATGGCCAGATCAAATTCAGCCCGAAGACGCAGGCCAGGTTAGAGCTGTTCATTTTGTTGAAAATGCTTTCCTGAGATACCTGGAGGAAATCATGAGAAAAATGGAGTGAACACCAAGGGCCACCCGTGGGGACCGAGAACTCCCTCCTGAGCTTTGGAAGGGGCGGGGGTAGCGAGGGGAGCCAGCAGGCAGTACAGGGGCCCTGTGCAGCCACCTCCTCACTCGGCCTCAGTTTTCCTATCTGACAGGAAGAGTTTGTCCTGGAGGGCCCTCTGGCTTCGACCTTCTGTGACAGTCTCAACACCCCACCCTCTCCTCTTCCACTGCAGCGTCGGGGGAAGACACACTTTTGGGGATGGGCTGTAGCACAGACGGTACGAACTAGGTGACCTCTCTGGCCTCGGTGCCATGGGTGGCGAACTGGGCATGATGGGGACCAGCCAGCATGGAAGGGTCACTGCGAGGGTGGCACCAAGAGTGTAAAGAGCTTGCGTCCCAGAAGGGCTCACGGTCCCTCTCGGCCAGCGCTTGTGCTTACAGCAACCCCGGGAGGTGGGAGTCATTCCTCCCCATCTAACAGATAAGGCATCTGGGACCCGGGGGGTACAGGAGACTTGCCCAAGGTCTTGTGACCAGCCCGTGGCTCGGCCTGTGTGGGCCCAGATGAGGGCAGGGCCTGTTCTCTTCTACTTTTCTCTGTACAAGACCCAAGCTAGGGGGAACCTCAGAGTTAGAAACGGGGATTATGAGGCTGGGAGCACAGAACTGGTGGCGGGCGTAGCCAGGTGTCACCCTCAAAGATCTGGTGAGGATGCCTAGACACGCCCAAGCCCTGTTTCTGTGAGATGGCCAGGGGCCGTTGAGGCTGCCCCTGCCTGACAGTCCTCGAAGCCCCTTCCAGGTGTCCACCAGCCAGGCCAACAGCAGGCCACCCCTCCCTAAGCCGAAGCCCCCAGGTGCCACTGGGGGGATAACACTCAACACCACGCCCCACCAGGCATCAGTGCTCACGGAGGAGGCAGCTAGAGAGAGAAATCAGTCTCCCCCACTGAAAAAGAAGTAGGGTGGACATGGTGGCTCACACCTGTAATCCCAGCACTCTGGGAGGCCAGTGTATCAACCTGAGGTCAGGAGATTGACACCAGCCCTGCCAACACGGCGAAAATCTGTCTTTACTAAAAATACAAAAATTAGCTGGGTGTGGTGGCTCTCACCTGTCATCCCAGCTTCTCAGGAGGCGGAGGTTGCAGTGAGCTGAGATTGAGCCACTGCACTCCAGCTAGGGCAACAGAACAAGACTGTTTCAAAAAAAAAAAAAGTAGAAAAATTTTAAGAGGATTAGGAGACTAAATTTCAGGTTTGGGGCCTCTGACAATTATATCAAGTGATAGGGAGGAAAACAACTGCTGTAAAACCAAGAGGTGGCATCTCTGATGGACTCTGGCATGTGACATCTGTTCCGCCCAGGCCCTCCTCTCCCCCACTGTGGGCACTGCCAGCACCCTGCAGGGCCTGGGGCAAAGGCTTGGGGAGATGGGGAAGATTGGACATACAGGGCCGTGGGTCTGGGGTTTGGGGGTGGACCCATTTGGATGTGTTGAGCCTTCTTCTGTTGACCACACAGGCTTTTGCTCCAAATGCATCCCTGCCCCAGGAGGAGAGAGCAGTACCCAGGCCCAGAGCGGCGAAGGTTTTCTCTGTTCATGTGCTTAGCATGGTGTAGAAGACTGAATGGTGGTCCCTCCAAGATAGGCCACCAGGAATCTGTGACTGTGCCCTCATTTGGAAGGAGGGTTGTTGTAGCCGTCACTAAGTGAAGGATCTCAAGATGAGATCATCCTACATCTTCTGGGTGGGTCCTAAATCCAAGGAGTGGTGGCAGGGGCCCAAGCTTATGAGGGAAAAGGAAGGAGATCTGAGATGTAGAGAGGGAGGCAGAGACTGGAGTGCCCAGGAGCTGGGAGAGGCCGGGAAGGATCCGCCCCAGACCGTCTGGAGGAAGCACAGCCCAGCACACCTGGATTCTTGATGTCTGGCCTCGCAGAAGAGTGACATGGTAAATTTCCATTGTTTTACAGCACCCACTGTGCAGTCACAAGAACCTAATGGGTGTGTCCCCTCCAGAGGAATGGTCAGTTCAGTCCACAGTGAGGGCGGGTCACGCATCAGGCTCTGTGCCTGTGGTGGACAGTTTTCCACCTCTGAGACTCAGCCAAAACAGATGACATTGGGGGCAAAGGACCCCACTAATGAAGGTCATTAGCAATGGCCGAGGGATGGCAGTACAGGAGCAGGCAGGGCCATGGTGGGCCCGCGTGAGGTCCTTGCCAGGGAGTGGTATTCCAAGGGCCAAGCAGGGGCGTGGTCCATGCAGGCACAGCATGGCAAGAGAGGCCACTGGACCTCACTCCATGTGCCCCCACTGCCCACTCACCGCGTGCAGGAAGCCCATGAGGTAGCGGAGGACGACGTAGTTGTGCTCAGGCAGGCTCCGCAGGATCTGGCGGCAGCAGGTGACGCGCAGGCTGCTCTCCACACCTGCAACGGCACGGGCCTCCCTCCTGAGCTCCAGAGGGGCCGGGGCGGGGGCAGCCCGGCGTCCTGGCCCAGGAGGAGGATGGACCCCCACTTACTCCCTGGCTGTGCTCAGCAAACCCTGTGTGTGCTTGGCCGTTCTTGCATTTGTATGAAGAAATACCTGAGATGGGGTCATTTACAAGAAAAGAGGTTTAACGGGCTCATAGTTCTGCAGGCTGTGAAACATGGCACCGGCCCCAGGAGGCTTCCAATCGTGGCAGAAGGTAAAAGGGAAGGAGGCGTGTCACATGGCAACAACAGGAGCAAGAGACAGTGTGGGGAAGAGGTGCCACACGCTTTAAACCAGATCTGGTGGGAACTCACTCAGGAGCGAGGCCAGCACCAACCGTGAGCGATCCACCCCCAGGATTCGATCGCCTCCCCACCTCCAACGCTGAGGGTTACAACTCAACATGCGCCACGGTGGGGACTTAGATCCAAGCCGTTCCTCTGCTCTCCCACCCAGCAACATCACGCACCAGGACGTTGCTAAAGCTGAATCACTTTATAAATGGGAACGGTCTAGACCAGATCCGGCCCATTGCCTGTTCTTGCCAGTAAAGCTTTCTTAGAACAGCCGCGGCCATTACATACATTGCCTGTGGCTGCTTTTGCCTTAGGGCACAGCCAAGTAGTTGCAACAGAGACTGCAAAGCCTGAGATATTTATTATATATTTACTATGTGGCCCTTTACCGAAAACGTTTGCCACCCTGCTCTAGACTAACTGCCTGCTCATGATTCTCCGCACCGCAAATCTCTCATGCTTTGTTGCTGTTGGGGATGGCAGTGTCCCCCCCCTCCAGGGGTCTGCTCCAACTGGCCACACTGAGACCCACCCCCACTCTGAGACTCTTATAACCACACCCACCATCTTTTTGGTGGTGGTCTCCTGACAGTGAATGATTTCTCAAGAGATCTGGTTGCTATGGCTTGGCAGAGTGGCTCAGGCCTGTAATCCCAGCACTTTGGGAGGTCTAGGCAGGCAGATCACAAGGTCAGGAGTTCAAGACCAGCCTGGTCAATATGGTGAAACTCCATCTCTACACAAAATACAAAAATCGAGGCCGGGTGCAGTGGCTCACACCTGTAATCCCAGCACTTTGGGAGGCCGAGGTGGGTGGATCATGAGGTCAAGAGATCGAGACCATCTTGGTCAACATGGTGAAACCCCGTCTCTACTAAAAAAGATACAAAAAATTAGCTGGGCATGGTGGCGCATGCCTGTAATCCCAGCTACTCAGGAGGCTGAGGCAGGAGAATTGCCTGAACCCAGGAGGCGGAGGCTGCAGTGAGCCGAGATCACGCCATTGCACTCCAGCCTCAGTAACGAGCGAAACTCCATCTCAAAAAAAAATAAATAAATACAAAAATCAGCTGGGTGTGGTGGCAGGCACCTATAGTCCAGGCTACTCGGGAAGCTGAGGCAGGAGAATCACTTGAACCTTGCAGGTGGAGATTGCTGTGAGCTGATTGTGCCACTGCACTCCAGCCTAGGTGACAGACTTGTCTCAAAAAAGAGATCTGGTTGCTTACATGTGTGGCATGACCTCACCCCATCTTGCTCCTACTCATACTGCATGAGATGCCTGCTCCTCCTCTGCCCTCCGCCATGTATGTAAGCTTCCTGAGGCCTCCCATGAAGCCAAGCAGATGCCAACATCCTGCTTCCTATAAAGCCTACAGAACCATGAGCCAATGAAACTTCTTTTCTTTATAAATTACCCAACCTCAGGTATTTCTTTATAGCACCACAGACCCAGTGACAACTAACATCCCACCAACCACTACCAGCTCTGTCTTTGGCTATCTGTGGGGGAATCTGAGAACATCTCCTGCCTCCATGGCCACTTACTGGTTTTGAGTCACATGGATTAGATACACCTTTGGTTAAAAACAAGCAAAGCTTGCAAACAAAAAAGCAAGGTTAAAAGGACTATTTGGAAACAAACTGGACAAAGAAAAAAATTAGGGCCTTCTATTGAAATAGTGATTAAAAGCTTTCGCCCTTAACAGGTAATCTTATTTTTTTTTTTTTGAGACGGAGTTTCGCTCTTGTTACCCAGGCTGGAGTGCAATGGTGTGATCTCGGCTCACCGCAACCTCCACCTCCTGGGTTCAGGCAATTCTCCTGCCTCAGCCTCCCGAATAGCTGGGATTACAGGCACGCGCCACCATGCCCAGCTAATTTTTTGTATTTTTAGTAGAGACGGGGTTTCACCATGTTGACCAGGATGGTCTCGATCTCTTGACCTCGTGATCCACCCTCCTCGGCCTCCCAAAGTGCTGGGATTACAGGCTTGAGCCACTGTGCCCGGCCAACAGGTAATCTTAACTTGTATGAAACTGTAGGAAAGTTTTAAGATCTGGGTTTCCAGATCACTGCACTCCAGCTTGCGTGATGGAAAGAGACCCCATCTTAAAATTTTTTTGTTTGCAGATCTATATGTCTATGCATGTATGTTATGTATATATGAAGTTTTTCTCCCTCTGATGGTATTACCACGTTAACTTATAAAGCCCCTTAAAGGAGTTCTATTCAATTGGCTTCGAGATACATGAGCATTTGTATAAATTAAATATTTCTAGGCCGGGCATGGTGGCTCAAGCCTGTAATCCCAGCACTTTGGGAGGCCGAGGAGGGTGGATCATGAGGTCAAGAGATCGAGACTATCCTGGTCAACATGGTAAAACACCGTCTCTACTAAAAATACAAAAAATTAGCTGGGCATGGTGGCACGTGCCTGTAATCCCAGCACTTTGGGAGGCCGAGGCGGGTAGATCACGAGGTCAAGAGATCGAGACCATCCTGGTCAACGTGGTGAAACCCCGTCTCTACTAAAACTACAAAAATTAGCTGGGCATGGTGGTGCGTGCCTATAGTCCCAGCTACTCGGGAGGCTGAGGCAAGAGAATTGCTTGAACCCAGGAGGTGGAGGTTGCGGTGAGCCGAGATCGCGCCATTGCACTCCAGCCTGGGTAACAAGAGCAAAACTCTGTCTCAAATAAATAAATAAATAAAATATTTCTAAAGCTCTCAGAAATATAGAAACTAAACCAAATATTCTTTTCAAGTTCATGTGAGTTTGGTAACTCACACCTGTAATCTCAGCACTTTGGCTGACGCAGGCAGATCACCTGAGTTCAAGACCAGCCTGGCCCATATGGTGAAACCCCATCTCTACAAAAATACAAAAATTAGCCGAGGATGATGGTCGGTGCCTCATCCCAGCTACTCAGGAGGCTGAGGCAGGAAAATTGCTTGAGGTGGGAGAATCACTTGAACCCAGGAGGTGGAGGTTGCAGTGAGCCAAGATGGCACCACTGCGCTCCAGCCTCGGTGACAGAGCGAGACTTCTCCTCATAACGAAACCGAAAACAAAACAGCGGCATGCTCTGAGTTATCCACATTAAGTATAATCCAAGCATACATCTTTATGTAGTTGGGTTGACTCATCAAGTAGGGTTAAAAATAGGTAACGGGCTGGGCCAGGTGGCTCATGCCTATAATCCCAGCACTTTGGGAGGCTGAGGTGGGTGGGTCATTTGAGGTCAGGGGTTTGAGAGCAGCCTGGGCAAAATGGTGAAACCCTGTCTCTACTAAAAATACAATTAGCTGGGTGTGGTAGCGCACACCGGTGATCCCAGCTACTGGGGAGCCTGGGAGGCAGAGGCTGTAATGAGCCACGACTGGGCCACTGCACTCCAGCCTGGGCAACAAAGCAAGACTCTGTCTCAAAAAAAAAAAGGGAAATTACTTGAGATGAACCAGCCTTATTCATTGTTATGTAAGCCACTACCGTGAATAAGAAAGGTCACTTCCTGGCAGGCCCAGGAAACTTAAAATAGACTGAGAAGTGTGAGAAGAATCCACTCAAATGTACAGATTCTACAGGCAAAATCCAATGGCATTTTTTTTTTTTTTTTTTGGAGACAGTCTTGCTGTTGCCTAGGCTGGAGAACAATGGTGAGATCTCGGCTCACTGCAACCTCCACCTCCTGGGTTTAAGGATTTTCCCACCTCAGCCTTCCAAGTAGCTGGGATTACAGGCACTTAACGTAACTTCTGTATTTTAGTAGAGATGGGGTTTCACCATGTTGGCCAGGCTGTTCTTGAACTCCTGACCTCAGGTGATCCGCCCACCCTGGCCTCCCAGAGTGGTGGGGTTACAGGCATGAGCCACTGCACCAGGCCCTGATGGCAAATTGTTGGCTTTCTAGCCTCACGAGTTTTTTAAAAAGTGAATCTGAGATTCCTTATTAAAAGTTCTAGCAAAACACACTTAAAAAGAGCCTACATCGGTCAGTTCCCATTCTTGCTGCACTTAAATAATCAGGCCAGATCTGGTGAGACCAGACGTATTTGTTTTTGTTTTTTTTTGAGACGGAGTTTCGCTTGTTACCCAGGCTGGAGTGCAATGGCACGATCTCGGCTCACCGCAACCTCCGCCCCCTGGGTTCAGGCAATTCTCCTGCCTCAGCCTCCTGAGTAGCTGGGATTACAGGCACGCGCCACCATGCCCAGCTAATTTTTTGTATCTTTAGTAGAGACGGGGTTTCACCATGTTGACCAGGATGGTCTCGATCTCTTGACCTCGTGATCCACCCGCCTCGGCTTCCGAAAGTGCGGGGATTACAGGCTTGAGCCACCGCTCCCGGCCCTAGAAATGCCCCTTATTAAAGGGCTGACTTAGGTAGTCCCCCTACTCCCACCTCCACCGCTTCCTCCTGAAATGAGACACAACTGTTTACCCAGAGTGACCTAGTCACAGCACTGAGAGGATTGAGTGCAACATGAGATAATTACCAAGTGAGTTACTGGACTGTTAAGACGTCTCGGGGAAAGTTTCAGATGGGGGAATGCTGGGGTTCTGAACATTACTCTCAAAAGACGGCTCCCGAGAAACGGCAGGTGCAGGAAGGGCTCTCTAACTCCCCCTACTGGTCTGTAACAGATCATAAAACCTTCTCATGGGAGGGGTCCGCCCTATGCCCAGAGGGAAGGAACACCCTTATCTCTAAAGATAGAGGGATGCCAAAAGAAATTGAACCCCCTTTGTCCATCCCATTTCCCGTAATTTTCCACTCTTCAAGCTGGTATCAAAACATTTAGGCTTAACCATGTCTTCAGGTGTTTTCTTTCTCTCTCTCCTCCCTCCTCCCTGCCTTCCTTCCTGTCTTCTCTTTCTTTCCCTCCCTCCCTTTTGGAGACAGGGTCTTGCACTTTTGTCCAGGCTGAAGTACAGTGGTATGAGCATGGCTCACCGTAGCCTCAAACTCCCAGGCTCAAGCCATCACCCACCTCAGCCTCCTAAGTAGCTGGGAGTACAGGCACATGCCACCAAGCCCAGCCAATTTTTAAAATCTTTTGTAGAGATGGGGGTCTCACTGTGTTGCCTAGGGTGGTCTAAAACTCTTGGGATCAAGTGATCTTTCTGTCTTAGCCTTCCAAACTGCTGGGATTACAGGCATGAGCCACTGTGCCCAGCCTGGGGCTTTATTTTCAACTCATGACTACGTTTGTACTAGTAAAACTTGTATTAAACAAACTGGCATGCTTTTCTCCTGGGAATCTGTCTTTTGTCAGAATAACAAGGTACAGGGTTCCCGCCAATGAACCTAAGATGGGTAGCAGGAAAGGATTTCTTCCTTCCCTACAGAGGATTGCTTAGTATGACTACACTCTCTGGGTTTGTTCATTGGTGCTTACCTGGAGGAGAACAAAGGTGTGTTACCTTCATGACGGGAGGCGTGGCGGAGCTGGGTCCCTCCCCTTCCCAGCGGACTGGGAGCAGCATGCCATTTGAAAAGACCGTGCTTGAGGACTTGGATGAAGACCTGAGTGGTTTTATGGTTCTTTTGAGGCATCGCTTTTCTCAGCACTCGCCAGTATTGTGAGATGCTGTTATGGAGTTGTGTTTGTCACCTGTGCTTAGCCACCCTGAGCATCTGACCGACACAAAGCGCCGGCAGGATCACACCCTGTAACTGCTCAGTTTGTATCATACATACTTGGCTTCTTACAGTGATTTGGGAGAAACACTGATCGCCCCTTTCTAGATGAGAGAGCTGAGGGTCTTGGGGCTGGGAGTGGGTACAGGCAGGACTTTGACCAGGATGACGTGCCCAAATCTAGAGAGCCCTCCGTTACCCTGCCTCCCGGTCCCCTGCGCCTGAGAGCCTAGCCGGGACAACCCCGACCAAACCCACCTCCTCTGCCCTTGGATAGTGTGGCCTGGCTGTGCCTGCTGGAGCAGCTGCAAGGGCTCCCTCTTTTGCCCTGCAGTGCCAGGTGGCAACAAGATGAGGGTGGGTGCACGCCACCTCAGCCACCCCAGAGCCAACCCTGGGCCAGTAGCTGGGGAACAGCATTTAAAGACCAGGCTCCCCATCCCCGCCCCGAGGCAGCTACGCACAGGTGATCCCAAGAATCTGCTCGTAGGCCTGGAAGGTCAGCAGTGGCTGGGGAAGCTCTCGAAGGAATGTCTTCAGGATCACGGCAGGGATGTGAACGTCCCCATAGTCGTCGAAGTTCACAGGCTTCCCTGCACAGGGAACACAGCCCCGCTGAGGTCTGCACCCCAAAGTTCACGGGCTTCCCTGCACATGGAACACAGCGCCGCTGAGATCTGCACCCCCAAAGTTCATGGGCTTCCCTGCACACGGAACACAGCGCCGCTGAGATCTGCACCCCCAAAGTTCACGGGCTTCCCTGCACATGGAACACAGCGCCGCTGATGTCTGCACCGCGGCCTGGGCACTGCCGCTGCAGGATGAGCTCTGGGACATGTGGTGTGAGATGTCCAGATGGGAAGCGCCTGATGCTGTCCCCACCTAGAAATGGGGGTGCTCTGGCCCCATCAGTCCTGCCCGCAGGTTACACATGGCAGTTAAGGAAGCCATGCTGAGCCAGTTTGGGGGAGCTGTCAGATAAAATACCAGCTTCCCTGCACTGCAGGGTGTCTCCTGAAAGCACGTGCCCACCTGGTGCAGATGGAGAGAACCTAAAGGCAAAATGGCATCGTGCGGCCACCTTATCCCAGCAGGGGCTGGGGGTCTGGATAAAGGGTCCCCACTCTGGACTACCAGTGGGCTCCTCGGTGGCTCCTGGGCGGCTGCCCCACCCCTAAGCATTTTCTGGGAGTTGGATGGGTTTCAGGGTACAACACTGCCTCTGCTCTGAGGCCTAGGAGCCCTCCGGTCACTGGCCAGGCAGGTGGCTTGGGGCTCAGGCTGCGGGGCACCCTCACCTTGGTTGTAGAGCCTCTGGATCTCGCGGACGGTCTGCACGCTGGCGGATCTGCGGAAGAGGCCCTCGGTGCGCAGGCCTGCAGGAGAGGAACTTCCGGGTATCTCAGAGCTTCCGGGATCCCAGCCCATTGGAATTCCAGAACATTCTATGACGCCCCCCTTGCCCGCCGCATCGCCCACCTGTGCTGGTCTCCGGCTTTCCCCTCACTACAGCTTACCCCCACCTTTATTTATTCCTCAGATCTTTTCCATATTCCCCAACCCACCTGGTTTCCCACCTCTGTGGTCCAGGGAAAGTGGAAAGAGACAGATTCTGAACTCGGACAGTCCAGCTCTGCCTACCAGCTGTGTGACCTCAGAGAAGACACTCATCTTCTCTGAGCCTACCTGCCTTGTTTATCTACGGAGTGAGGCCATGAGCTCGTCTCCAAGGGCTACAGAGAAGACTGGACAAGGTGATGCCTGGTACGTGCCTGGCACCCAGGGGCCTCCAGACATGCGGCTTCCCAGGAGGGCGAGGGTGGAGTCGTGCAGCACAGCAGCCACATGGGGATTTAACTTAAAATTAAAAATCCAGTCACTCAATTACACAAGCCTCATGCGAACTGCCCTACTGGGCTACTCCACAGGGGCTGGTGGCTGCTGTTTAGACGGTAGAGATATAGATGGTGTCAAGTTCTACTGGGCAATTCTGAGAGAGAGTTGATTGTGGGCCGTGTACAGTGGCTCACACCTGTAATCCCAGCACCTTGGGAGGCCAACGGGGGCAGATCACTTGAGGTCGGGAATTTGAGACCAGCCTGGCCAACATGGTGAAAACCCATCTCTACTGAAAATACAAAAAATACTAACTGTGGTGGCAGATGCCTATAATCCCAGCTACGCAGGAGGCTGAGGCAGGAGAACTGCCGGACCCCAGGAGGCAGAGGTTACAGTAAACTGATATCGCGCCACTGCACTCCAGCCTGAGTGAACGAGACTCCATCTCAAAAAAAAAAAAATTTATTTTATCAAAGAAGAAAACTTGTCTCCATTGTCAATTTATACAGAGGGTTTTCAGTGCTTCTAATTGGCTTATGAAGGCAGCAATTCATGTGGCCTCTTGAGGTCTGGGGTGGAGGCAAGGGTTTCCTTTGGCCAGGCCCCTGCTGGCTCCAGAGCCAGGAAGAGAAACAAGCCTGAGCCTGCCCTGGGGAGCCTGCGGTGGGTGGTGGGGGTACCCCGGAACAGCAGCACCTAGGACCTGGTGCAAGCATCTGGAGGTCCAAGTCTTACCACCCTTTCTCCTCCCCACGCGCTCATGCACCCCCATGGCCGAGGACCTCTGCACCTGCTGCTCCTCTCTGGGGCCTTTCTACCACCCAGCATGGGCAGCCTCTCCCCGATCTCAGAGCTTAGCTCCATCGCCAGATGGAAACATGAGAAAGAGCAGCGGCCGAGGGACCACAGGGTGGTGGGGATCGGGGCGGGGGGCAAAACTCTAGCTGGAGAAACCACAGGGTAAAGGCACACAGGCTGGGGAGGAGGAAGACCCAGGAGGGGCCAGGCCAAGCCTCAGGGCTGGGACACCGGATGGGAAAGGGACTCCCGCACTCCCGGAGGCCTGGCCTTGGCCACCTGGGACAGGAAGAAAAGGTGACTACTCACTACAACGTTTACTAAAGGAAACGCTGAGTGTCCTTAATCGGACTTTGCACCTCCTCCCAGTAGGTCTCACTTAGTAGGTCTCAACACATGCCTGTCTACTGCAGGCTGAGGGCGGAGTGGGCCTGCACCTAGTAGGTCTCAACACGTGCCTGTCCGCTGCAGGCTGAGGGCGGAGTGGGCCTGCACCTAGTAGGTCTCAACACGTGCCTGTCTGCTGCAGGCTGAGGGTGGAGTGGGCCTGCACCTAGTAGGTCTCAACACGTGCCTGTCCGCTGCAGGCTGAGGGCGGAGTGGGCCTGCACCTAGTAGGTCTCAACACGTGCCTGTCTGCTGCAGGCTGAGGGTGGAGTGGGCCTGCACCTAGTAGGTCTCAACACGTGCCTGTCCGCTGCAGGCTGAGGGCGGAGTGGGCCCGCTCTTGAGGGTGGGTAAGGCGATGGTGTCTGTTGAACAGTTACGATGCTGTCCCTCTCCCCGCCTGCACTCCCTTCTCTCCAGGCAAGCCACTGTCATCTTTCCCCATCCTCAGACCCCTCCCTCAGCCTCTTCTCCTTTCTGAAGCTCAGGAAATGCTGATCTCTGACCAGCCACACCCTGTATCGGGCCCTTCAGTGTCTGCCACCTGTCACAGGATAGAGCTTCACGGGAACGTGCTTTGTGAAACAGAAAAGGAAAGAACAGAAAAAGGACTGCGCTTCCCATAGCTGTCACCAGGGCCTTGCACCATCTGGCCGCCACCTTCTCACTTCACCCACCGCCTCTCCGCTCCCACCGTCCAGGGCCCAGAGGCTCCATGCGCCTTCCTGGCCCAGACGTGGCCGGTCCCTCTCCTTTCTGCTGAGTGACTGCCGTGGGCAGAATTCTTGAGATGGCCCCCGGACTCTTGGCCCCTGGGGAACACGTACTTGCAATTTCCCAGGTAGTCAGTCAACACTAAGCTAGGTACTACAGCGAAGGGGCTTTGCAGACATAACTCAGGGCCAAGCCAGTTGGCCTTAAGATACGGAGATGATCTTGCACGGGCCTTTTACCCTGTGGCTTCTCCAGCCAGGGGTTTGCCCCCCACCCGAATCCCCACCACCCAGGCAGGGCTGACTCCCCTCCAGCCTCCATCGATGAGTTTTAAAAGGACCCAGGTTCTTTCAGTGACAGAGAATCCAGCCCAGGGAGGGGATTCAGGTGAGCTGTGGTCTGCGGGAAGAGGGGCTGGGCATGGCAGAGAAAGTAGCAGACGGTAGCTGCTGAGCCAGGCCCCGGGGTGACAGGCAAGGAAGTGGGCACCTCACAATGATAACTGCCAAGAACAAGACCAGGCCAATGATCTGAACGAACTTGGATGTGGACGCTTCCCCAGTACCTCCAGCCTCCAGGAGGAAGCCCAGTCCAGCCAGCACATGGAGTTCAGCCTGTAAGACCCTGAGCAGAGAACCCAGCCCCCATGTGCTCAGACTTCTGATCCACAGAGATGGAGATGATAAATTCGTGTTGTGTGGGGCAGGCGTGGTGACTCATGCCTGTAATCCCAGCACAAAGGGAAGCTGAGACAGGCCAATCACCTGAGGTCAGGAGTTCAAGACCAGCCTGGTCAACATGATGAAACCCCATCTCTACTAGAAAATACAAAAATATATCTGGGCTTGGTGGTGCATACCTGTAATCCTAACTACTCGGGAGGCTGAGGCAGGAGAATCGCTTGAACCTGGGAGGTGGGGGATGCAGTGAATGGGGACCACACCATTGCACTCCAGCCTGGGTGACAGAGTGGTATCTCAAAAATTATAACAAAGGAATTGATACGTTTTTAGAGAGAGGGAGAGAGAGACTCCCTGTTGTAGTTTCTGATTTTCAGTCTTTATGTGCACCTCTCATAAGCAGGACAGAATGGGAAATACTCCAATGACATCTGCTCAAAGCAGATGAGCAGAATGATAGTCCCCCGGCTAGAGCGGTGGTGTCTCACTGAACATTCTGTGATCAGAACACGCCATCTCTGGGGCACACGGGGAACAGACCCCCACGGCCCTGGCAGCAGTGACTCTCACTTGTCCGACAGCCCCGCATCTGCGCTGCAGCACCCAGGCTGGAGAGCACCCGGCCCACCTAGCGCACCTGCACCGGTGGTCCCTTGTGCCTGCTCCTCCATGGGAGCCTCTTTCCCCCAGTTAGGGTAAACGCGGCCTCCACGCACCTTCTCTACGGACCTCAGTTCCAGCCTCAGGAGCTGTGGAGAGCCCACAAGCCTCACCCCACTCCAAGTTCCTGGCTGCACCCACCCCACCGGCAACGTGGTCTGCAAATCAAAGTTGATCCCATCAGAGGAGCCCCTATTTCAAGAGGGCTTCCTACAGACTAGCACCGTCTGAAGTGCCCTACAGGCAACATCTCATTTAGGGGTCACAACAATCCTGCGAGTCCCATACTGTTAGTGATTAACTGCACCGGACAGACGAGGGAATGGAGGCCCAGAGAGGGTGAGTAACTGGCCCCAGGTCACACAGCCAGTAAACCGGGGAGACAGGATTCAAACCCAGACCATCTGAAGCCAGAGCCCAGACCTGGAGCCACTGTGCTTCAGTTCCCTCCCTTCCTGGCCTGTGGCGTGCTCAGGATCCAAGACGAACCACCCAGGGAGGTGCACCCAGCAGCTCTCATGTCACCCAGCCGGAGCTGGCCCAGACTCACCTTTCTCTCTCAGGTACGTCACTGTGAATCTCAGCACAGGGGGGATGAGTTCCCCTTGATTTTTGTCTTTGAGGCTGAGAAGAGAGAAAAGAAAGTGACAGTTTTTACATGAGCTTGATGGGTGGTCACAATGACAAGAGCTGCTGGTCCTCTCCACACCCCTTCGAAAACACAGGACCCAAGCACTGTCCAGGGAGAGGCAGGCTCAGCCCTCAGGAAGTAGAAGTCTGGGGGCCAATAATAAAACGACAGTGCAGTATTTGAGAACTCCATGAGAGGGATATTTATGATACAGGGAAGACCTGGGGGTTAGGGAGGGGTTCCCCAGGAGGCAACTTCAGAGCTGGGTTTTGAGGGATTAGTAGGAGCCTGCCAGAGGACAAAAGAAAGATGGGCATTCTAGACAGGGAAGACATACCAGGAAGTCCCAGAGGTATGAGATGCTGCTTCAGTTAACAAGCAACGCTGACAAAGGCCCAGCATGTCATCTGGGTTATCCTGTCTCTTATTGTGCTATTTTGAGACAGAGATTCACATAAAGACATTTTGGCCTGGTGTGGTGGCTCACACCTGTAATCCCAGCACTTTGGGAGGCCAAGGTGGGCAGATCACTTGAGCCCAGGAGTTCAAGACTAGCCTGGCCAACATGGTAAAACCCTGTCTCAATTAAAAATAAAAAAATTAGCTGGGCACGGTGGGATTAATAGATATCCCACATCTATTAATATATTAGATGTGGCCAGGCGCGGTGGTTCACACCTGTAATCCCAGCATTTTGGGAGGCTGAGGCAGGTGGATCACAAGGTCAGGAGTTCGAGACCAGCCTGGACAACATGATGAAACCCCATCTCTACTAAAAATACAAAAATTAGCCAAGTGTGGTGGCACACAACTGTATTCCTAGCTACTCTGCAGGCTGAGGCAGGAGAATTGCTTGAACCGGGAGGCAGAGGTTGCAGTGAGCCGAGATTGAACCACTGCCCTCCAGCCTAGGCGACAGAGCGAGACTTCAACTCAAAAAAAAAAAATACACACACACACACACACACATACTTATATAATACACGTTTTATAAATTTTATATGCATATGTATTTTTATTTGTGGTGACCTTAGTTTTACATATTTAATATAATACAGTCTGTTTTCAATTTTCAGATGATATTATACCACTCTACTTACAGTATAAGTCTCCCATCCCATCCTCTGCCTTGTTTTTGTTTTCTTTTTTTTTTTTTTTTGGAAACAGGGTCTTGCCCTGTGATCTTGGCTAGCTGCTGCCTTGACCTTCTGGGCTAAAAAAATCCTTTCACCTCAGCCTCCCAAGTAGCTAGGACTACAGGCATGTGCCACCATGCCATGCCAGCTAATTTTTTGAATTTTTTGTAGTGACTCCGTTTTATCATGTTGCCCAGGCTGGTCTTGAACTCCTGAACTGAAGCAGTCCACTGCCTTGGCTTCCCAAAGTGTTGGGATTACAGGCCACTGTGCCCGGCCTGTCGTTTTTTTTTTTTTTTTGAGAAGGAGTCGCTTGTTACCCAGGCTGGAGTGCGATGGCACGATCTCGGCTCACCACAACCTCCGCCTCCTGGGTTCAGGCAATTCTCCTGCCTCACCCTCCCGAGTAGCTGGGACTACAGGCACGCACCACCATGCCCAGCTAATTTTTTGTATTTTTTTTAGTAGAGACGGGGTTTCACCATGTTGACCAGGATGGTCTTGATCTCTTGACCTCGTGATCCACCCACCTCGGCCTCCCAAAGTGCTGGGATTACAGGCGTGAGCCACCGCGCCCGGCCCTCGTCTTCTTACTATAATACATTATCCAGTGCTCTAACATGTGTTAAGCTTCATACTACTCCATGATTTTTTGTTTAAACAGTTCACTTTCAGAGATATTCTTAAAATGAGAATGTCAATTTATTTCCATGCGCGTATTTGCCATTTGCAATGCACTCTGTTCCTTGTAAGGGCCCCATTTCCACTCGGCATTCTAGCTTCGGTTCTGCAGGGCTGCTCTTCGCATTTTGTACAGTGTAGTTCTGCTGAAATCAATAGCTGTTTCTGTTCATCTGAAACAGCTTCTACCGGGCATTTACTTGTAAAAGTTTTTTGCTGGGTATGCAATTTTACATTGAGAAATTTAGCTTTTTCTTCTTTTTCAGTGTAATAGAGATGTTACTCCGTCGTTTTCCGGCTTCCACCTTTCCAATGAGAAATCAGCTGTAACTTTTTTTTGTTTTTGCGATGGAGTCTCACTTTGTTGCCCCAGGCTCAAGTGCAGTAGAGCGATCTCAGCTCACGGCTACCTCCGCCCCTCAAGGTTCAGCTGAGTCTCCTGCCTCAGCCTCCCAAGTAGCTGGGATTACAGGTGTGCACCACTATACCTGGCTGATTTTTATGTTTTTGATAGAGACGGGGTTTCACCACGTTGGCCAGGCTGGTCTCGAACTCCTGACCTCAGGTGATCTACCTGCCTCGGCCTCCCAAAGTGCCAGGAATACAGGTGTGAGCCACCACACCTGGCCAAGAAAAGCCTTTTCAACAAATGGTGCTGTAATAACATGCAAAGAAGCAAATCAGACCCTGCCTTACAACATATATAAAAATCTCCTCCAAATATATCAAAGATCCAAATCTAACAGCTCAATTTAAAACTCCTGGGGAAAAAACATAGGCATGTCATAACCTTGGATTTGGTCACGGTTTCTTAGATAAAACACCAAAAGCACAAGTGACAAAAGAAAAAAATAGATACGGTGGCTCACGCCTGTAATCCCAGCGTTTTGGGAGGCTGAGACAGTGAATCACAAGGTCAGGAGTTTGAGACCAGCCTGGCCAACATGGTGAAACCCTGTCTACTCAAAATAAAAAAAAATTAGCTGGGCCTAGTGGCAGACACCTGTAATCCCAGCTACTCCACAGGCTGAAGCGGGAGAATTGTTTGAACCTGGAAGGCAGAGGTTGCAGTGAGCCAAGATCATGTCATTGCACTCCAGCCTGGGCGACAGAGTAAGACTTTGTCTCAAAATAAAAATAAAAAACAGGGCCGGTCGAGGTGGTTCACGCCTGTAATCCCAGCACTTTGGGAGGCCGAGGTGGGTGGATCACAAGATCAGGAGTTTGGGACCAGCCTGGCCAATATGGTGAAACCCCGTCTCTACTAAAAATACAAAAATTAGCCAGGCATGGTGGCGCGTGCCTGTAGTCTCAGCTACTTAGGAGACTGAGGCAGAAGAATCACTTGAACCTGGGAGGTGGAGGTTGCAGTGAGCCAAGATCGTGCCACTGCACTCCAGCCTGGGCGACAGAGTAAGACTCCATCTTAAAAAAGAAGACCTACATAAATAAGTAACACTAACAACTGGGTGTGATGGCTCACACCTGTAATCCCAACACATTGGGAGGCCGAGGCAGGCGATCACCTGAGGCCAGGAGTTTGAGACCAGCCTGACCAACATGGAAAAACCCTGTTTCTACAAAGATACAAAATTAGCCAGGCATGGTAGGCATGCCTGTAACCCCAGCTACTCAGGAAGCTGAAACAGGAGAATCGCTGGAAACCTGGGAGGCGGAGGTGGCAGTGAGCCTGGAAACAAAGTGAAACTCTGTTTCAAAAAAAAGAAAAGAAGAAACAATGACAAAATAACAAGTATTGGTGACTGTGGAGAAATGGGAACCATGATACCTTGCTGAGGAGAATGTAAAACCGGGGTGCAAAGACTTTGGAAAACAGTTTGGCGTTCTCTAAAACTTCAACCTAGAGTTACCACGGAACCCAGCAATTCCACTTCTAGACACAAACCCAAGAGAACAGAAAATGTTTGTTCACACAAAATCTAGCATGTGCGTTTTCAGAGCAGCGTTACCCATGATGGCCATACGGTAGAAACAACCCAGATACTCATTCTCAACAAAGGGTTAAATGAAATCTGGCCATCGCTGCAATCTTATGATCAACGGCGTCACGGGTGGACCTTGAAAACACGCTAAACAAAAGATCCACAAAAGGCCACATACTGTGTGATTACATTTTATGAAATGTCCTAAATAGGCAAAATTTATAGATATTAAAAGTACTTGCCAGGGCCTGTAGGAGGGAGGAAAAGGGAGAGGCTGCTAATGGGTGCAGGGTTTCTTTTTGGAGTGAGGAACACATTCTAGAATTAGGTAACGGTGATGAGGAGCAGCTTTGTGCATATGCGAAAAACCACTGAAGAAGAAGAGCAGGGAAAGTACCAGCAACAGAAACCAGCTCATGTGGTCTGCACACCTCCTTTGTTAGGCCCCTGTGGTCCTGGTGGGTGAGGAGGGCAGGGTTTCACCTCCAGTAATGGCAAGAAATTGGGACAAGTTAAGAAAAGCCCAACACTGTGAGAATGTGCAGGTAAGAATCACTCTTCAGCTCCCACCACCCCTTAGGGGCCGCCCAGGAAGGCAAGGCTGGGCAGGCACCTGCAGTGAACTTGGGCCCCTCTGGGGGGCACCGGGGAGAACTCAGCCCTCCAGGACCAGGCCCAGCCAGCAGGCCAGGATTTTCAAGCTATCAAGTGATGGGAAATGCCAGAGCTTGCAGAGTGCGGTAGCTCATGCCTGTAACCCTAGCACTTTGGGAAGCTGAAGCGGATGGAACACCTGATGTTAGGAGTTTGGGGACAGCCCGACCAACGTGGTGAAACCCCGTCTCTACCAAAAATACAAAACTTAGCCAAGCATGGTGGTGGGCATCTGTAGTCCCAGCTACTGGGGAGGCTGAGACCGGAGAATTGCTTGAACCCGCAAGGCGGAGGTTGCAGTGAGCTGAGATAGCGCCACTGCACTCCAGCCTGGACGACAGAGCAAGACTCCAATTCAAAAGAAAAGAGAAAATAAAAAAGAAAAGAAAGAAAATGCCGAGGCCAGGCACGGTGGCTCACACAGGTAACCCGAGCACTTTGGGAGGCTGAGGCAGGTGAATCACAAGGTCAGGAGATCAAGACCATCCTGGTCAACATGGTGAAACCCCGTCTCTACTAAAAATACAAAAATTAGCTGGGCATGGTGGCGCGTGCCTGTAGTCCCAGCTACTCGGGAGG